ACACTTTGATGTGCAGTGACAGACTGTTTGAACATTTCCTCCTTTCTTCCCTTTTTGTTGTTAGAATATATCAAGCCATAACTGCTACTGAACTTTCTGGGAATGTGGCCTGAAAATAACTTTGGTCACACGCGAAGCCACTGTAGTAGAAGCTCCCACTTAAAGATTGCAACTATCCAACACAAAGTCTGAAACTGGGGGAAAGTTTTATTGTTTCCAAATAAGAATATATAAAGTAAAAATTGTTAATAGTGTGAATGTTTATGAAGCATTCACACTATTGTGATCCCTTTTTCTTCCGTACATTTTTCAGCATCTTTCTTGTTCCACAATTTTTGCGCTATTTCAATAAATCATATATTAAAATGTTTAGCTCGTTGAGAAGAAAGGTGCTATGATGTTTGGTATTGGTGCAACTTTAGCTTTTTGAAATATTTGGCTTTTTCTGCCATTTTTTTCTCGAAACAAGAAGAGCAGAGCTAATTTTACATCCTTCAAATCTTTAAATCTGTTTACAAGCTTTTACTGCTCCCTTCACATTTTGTTCTGGTTCAGCTTCTTTCAGCTTCCTTGTGAAAACATTTTTTTTCAGCTAATTTCAATTGCATTTTTTTTGCCTTTTTTAAATAATTTCCCTTTTTTGTGCTCATTTCTGCTTCTTTAAGCCTAACTGGGCAAAATTGTGCTCTTTTCACTTCCTTCTGGTAATTAGTTTCTTTCTGCCTTCTCAGTTTTTTTTTAATTTCAGCTTTTTTTTTGCTAATTTACTAATCTTTTTGCTCATTTTTGCTTGTTTAAACCAATTTCAGCAAATATATTCTTTCTGCTTTCTTCTGCTAATTTAGGCTTGTTCTTCCATTTCAGCATGGCTTTTTAAAAAAAATCTAATTTCAGCTGTTTCTCAGCAAGTTCATGCGCAATATGCATTCAAACTGCATTTTTACAGGAAATGCAATTTCTCTAGTTAATTATAAGTTCATTATATTCTTCCAGAGTGGTTGCATCGGACATGACAAGCATCTGTAAGCCCTGCTCTGGGCTTTTTGTGGAGTTTTCTCAGTCATCTCCCGAGCGATGACTCCAGGGAATGGAATAACACAGAGTGTGAATATTTGAGAAAATCTTCCGCGGAGTTCACAGTATGCATGTGTGAGTGCTTATCAGAGTTACTGCTGTGTATTGTGTGTTGTTTATGTATGCCATGTTGTTGCGTGATCTCAGAACAGTCAGTTTGAATCAGGAGGCTCATCCACTGTCCTGCAAGTTGCTACAGCCTAAAGTACGCTCAGATTTCCCAAGCATTCATTAAACAACATGCACTGAGATGCCAGATGTCTCTCCTGAGTATATGGAGCTGTAAAAATGCATCTCACACGGACAATTTCCCGCTGTATGAAAGAGCCCCATGCTGAAAAAGCTCAAACTTGATTCTTTAAACAGTCTCTGACTTTCACGTCCCAAACTGCTGCACAACACTACCAATTCCTGAGGTTTTAGTGCTTTTAAATTTTTGACACGATATAAAAAAAAATTTTTTTTTAACTCAGCTGACATTTACATGCTTTAAATTACCATTCAGGGCACAAGACGATAAATTTGTAGCAAAATGGAAATCAGTTTAATTCTTAATAGTCAGTGCAATGGTTAAAACTATCAGAGCATATCAGAGCCAATATTATTGAAGAGTATAAGAATTGTCTTGACTTTTTCCAGACAACATATTATTATGTTGTATCATTAATCAATTAAATATTGAGTCCCATAAATAGTTTGATCTTTCTGAAATTCTTGGATTGTTCAGCCCAATCTAAACATCTTTCTTTTTGTAATGTTTAGGCTTGGCTCTCCACTAAGAGGTCATATCTGGTTTTGCTATAAAGTGGTGTCAGATCTCTTTCCTTTGGCACACTATAAAAACAGAGCTGCTGTGTTGCTGCTACTTTTTTGATTTTCACTTGAACCTTTCAAACTTAAAATCCCAGCTGAACTTCTGGATTTAATAACATTATTTAAATTGAGATAAATTTTTAAAGAACTCGATATTTTTGTTCGATCGTTTGAATCAAACCCGTGTTTATTAAATAAAAGAAACCAAAACTAGAATTTGAGATGTTATAGTTAATTGTGACGCTGTGTTTCCTTTTGAATGACTGCTAAGAAAAGGAGCTCTATCATCACAAAACATATGTTGTTTAGTTTCTGTAATGGGCTGAGTAATATTTCATTTCTGAATGTGCAATGTCACTTTTAAAAGTTAATAACAAATTAATTTTTTCCCGTCAGGGTTTTACAAAACCACCGTTGTGATTCATTTGTAAATTGCTGAAATAATTTAAAATTCCTGTGAAAGTGTTCTTAACAAATCTCCAGAGGTTTAATCACCAAGGAATTTAACTAAAACCATTGTAGTCATACAAGTAACATTTACATTCAGTTATGACATTGCATATTGTTTTTGGTCCGCAGTAGCTTGTCGTCAGTGCCATGGATTTGTAAATCGTCAGGCTGCAGGTTCAAGCCCTGGTTGAATTTAGCATACTTATAATTATTTATTTTTACAGTTTGCTTGTGTGGCGGCATGGTGGTGCAGTTGGTAGAGCTGCTGCCCCTCAGTAAACAGGTTGCCTTGGTTCAAATCCTGGCCGGGGGTCCTTTCTGGGTGGTGTTTGCATGTTCTCTCCATGCATGCATGAAGCCGAAATGGGGTAGAGGTAGGGCAGCCACCTTGGGACCAGAAGGTGACGTTTCAACTCCCAGCCATTCCCTGGTCATCGTGGTGTCTTTGATAAAGACACACAATCCCTAATTGCTCCCTGGGAAGCTTACATAGCTGCCCACTGCTCCACCTGGGTGTATCTCACATGTGATGGGTTAAATGCAGAGAACTAATGTCATCATTGTAAGAAGATGGAAAAGATTTCACCTTTTCCACCCACATTTTCATGTTGATGGTACCGGGAGATGAACTTACGACTTTCTGATCATAGGCCAATCTTCTCTAACCTCTGCGTCACCACTCCTGCTGTGATGGTGGGGAGGCTTCTGTGCAGCCTTCACCACTCTCTGCAAAGCTTTTCTTTCTGCAGCTGTGCAGCCTCCATGCCACACATTGATGCTGGAGCACAGGATGCTCTCCACTGCACACCTGTAGAAGGAGGTGAGGACTGAGCTTCCCAGACCAGCTCGCCTCAGCTGTCTAAGGAAGTAGAGTCTCTGATGAGCTTTCTTGATCAGACTGGTGGTGTTGCCCCAGCTGAGGTTGTCATTCAGGTGCACACCCAAATAATTATAAATGGAGATCACTTTCACTGCATATCCTCCTATGTTCGGGGGGTGGGGGGTGGTAGGGTAGGTGTGTTTGTTCATCTGCAGTCCATGACCATCACTTTCATTTTCTTCACATTGATGTGAAGGTTGTTCTTCCTGCACCAGCTCTCCAGGTGTTCCACCTCCTGCCTGTAGCTGGACTCATCGTTGTTTGTGATGCATCGCACCACTGCTGTATCATCAGCAAACTTTAAAATATGACAGCCTGGATGGGTAGGTGCACAGTCATATGTGAGCAGAGTGAACAGGAGAGGGCTCAACACACAGCCCTGAGGGGAGCCAGTGCTCAGGGTTATGGTGGAGGAGGAGAGTTGTGGATCCTCACTGACTGTGGTCTGTTTGTTAAGAAGTCTAGGACCCAGTTGCAAATGGAGGGGCTCAGTCCTAGTGTGAGTAGTTTGTCCATCAGGGTCTGGGGAATCATGGTGTTGAAGGTGGATGCGAAGTCCACAAAGAGCATACGGACAAAGGAGTCCTTCTGCTCCAGGTGTTGCCTTACTGACAACCTTTTGCTGTTTTCAACAACAAGCCACTCAATGTTTATATGTTCCTATGAACATATAAATGAACCTCATGAACCTCTGAACGAAACTGATTTTTCAAACCTTCTGTTTAGTCACCAATTGCCATCTTACCACTATTATGTTCATTCATTTAGGTAAATACAATTAAGGCATTAAATCTACGATGTTGTTCATCACAAATATTTGCTCCTCACCGAGTAAAATTTCATCACGCAACCAAAATCCTGAGAGGCTCATACACAGTAAAGACAAAAGTACTCTGTTGTTGCAGTTTGGATTTGGGCTAGGCCCCTTATTTCCAGTGATGAACAAACATTATGGAAATTGTTATGCTTGCAACATTGTGGAAACACTTTGAGGAAGGTATTTTTCTGTTCCATCTTGACTGAGTTACATTGCTCCGAGCAAGGACAATAAAGATGAGGTCTGATGAGTTTGGTGAGGAGGAAGTTGACTGGCCTGAACAAAGCCTCGGCTTTAACTCCACTGAGCACCTTTGGGATGAGCTGGAACAAAGATCGTGAGCCAGACTCTCTCGTCCAACATCAGTGCCTGACTTCTACAGAATGAATGGGCAAAAATTCCCACAGAAGCACTCCAAAATCTTGTGGAAAGCCTTCCAAGAAGAGTGGATGCTGTTAGAGCTGCAAAAAAGAGACAAACTCCACACAGACAGAACTCCCAGATTAAATTTCTATTTGCCTTTTGTATTCCTGAAGGTGTGCAGAAACATATTTGTGTATTTGAAATTATTCAAACAACTTACATTTTCATTACGAACGTATTAAGGACATTTTATAGCAAAAATACAGTTTGACAAAAAAAAAAAAAAAAAACTGACCCCACTGACCAGCTTCTGGGTGATTGTGTGAAAGTGTTCTTGAAAATGAAGTTGGTGCTGCTGGAAGTCAAAACACAGCTACTTCCTTGGAAAAATAAAAGGTTTAAAGTCTTGTCAGTCAGCCCAGGTGTTCTGTGTGGGTCACTGACGTTAAAAGTCATGATCACAACGCCCTGGAGAGCTGGATACCAATGCACTCAAGAGAGGAAAGAATAAGTGAAGTTTTTCACATTTAACTGTTTATAGGCATTGACTAAAGACTTAATGAACCATTTTAACTCTTACAACTCTTTTTCCCCTTCTTGCAGGTTATTAGTTGGAGCTCCTTATGAAATGACTGGCCCCTATCAAACAGGGGATGTTTATAAATGTTCACTGAGCAAACGAATCAACGGCAATGGTTGCACGAAGCTCAATTTAGGTATAGTATTGCAAAACACCTCAGATTTTTTCTACATTTCTCCAACAAATACAGTGCTAAAGTGCAACAGAGGCATTGAAGTATGGTGTATGTGTTCAGATCAGATGCTTTCTTTAAGCAAATGTCAGCAAACAGCCTGGCGACATGTGTAAGACAGAAGTGGGGCTACCATACCAGTCATTCCACATTTTCAATGGTTTATGTACATTTCTACGTGTGTGTTTTACCACACATTTTACTGCTTGCTTCCTCATACGGGTTGCACATGTTATGTTGGTTAGGTGCTCACTTGAAGTTTAGTGGAGCGAACATTTAGATTAGAGGATGTGGACGGTGAGCTGACTGGCCAGACAAAAACAAAACCAACGTACCAGATGGGTTTTGTTCTCCGTAGGACTGTGCATGCATGGAACTGTGCATCTGAGATCTTCTAAGTGAAATTCCTTCTCCTTCAAGGAAAGATATCCCTGACCAATGTGTCAGAGCGAAAGGACAAGATGAGGCTGGGAATGACACTCACATCTAACCCTAAAGACGGGAGCTTTGTGGTGAGACTTTTGAAAGACAGAAGCATTTTTAGTGAATAAAAGCAAATTTTAAAAGACCTTAGAGAGGACGCTACAACACTGCTTTTAATTATGTTATTATACTATTGCATCTGCCTGCAGAATTTATCCACCATCATAATATTTTTGTTACATGCTGAGCTGTTGCATGTTTAAACACTTTCTTTTATGTTTCAGGCCTGTGGGCCGCTGTGGTCATATGAATGTGGCAGCTCCTACTACAGCACTGGAATATGTTCCAAAGTTAATGCAGCCTTTAAGTTCTCTGGGACAGTTAAGCCTGCCTTTCAAAGTAAGCTTAAAAAGATTTGTAGAGTCAAAAATCAACTGATGACTAAATGAAGAATTATATATGTACAGTACATGTACTGGTACATATTTGTTCACAAACATATGTTTCTTTCCTATTTGTTTTTGTATCGCACAGGATGTGAAACCTTTATGGACATAGTGATTGTTCTTGATGGATCAAACTCCATTTACCCCTGGTATGAAGTGCAGGACTTTCTCATTAACATTCTTCAGAAGTTCCACGTTGGACCAGGTCAAATCCAGGTATGTATGAACAAAAGAAAGATATATATATTTTTAATTTACCCTTCATTTATACAGGTAGTCTCATTGAGTCACGAGAACTCATTTTCAAGAGAGACCTGTTTTGGGGAGCATATGGTGGGGGTTAAGGGCCTTGCTCAGGGACCCAGTGTGGGGCAAATGAGGGTGGAGGCAGGTGTGAGTGTTTCACCTTTTCCACCCACACTTTGATGTTGGTGGTACCAGGAGTTGAACCTGCGACTTTCCGATAACAGGCCCATCTTCTCTAACCTCTGGGCCACCACTGCCCCAATTTCTCTGCTTTAATTTTTAAGAGTCCACTTCTAAATGTTTTATAAGTTTTTCATCTGGTATTCTCTTCTAATGGGCCGCCCATCTAGACTTTTTATGTTGGACTGTTTTTTTGACCCCTGGCTATGTCTAAAGGGGGTGGGTGGGTGTGGAGATCTGTGAACAGGATCTGTGAGCACATGAAGCTTATCTGTGTGGTGATCATACCTTTAAATGGGTGAAGATATATATATATATATATATATATATATATATATATATTCGGCTGCCCCCTTTATCAGGGGTTGCCACAGTGAACTAAGTTGCACGAAGACTTGGCAATTGTTTTTATGCTGGATGCCCTTCCTGACACAACCACAGATCACTAAGCTACCATTTTCACACTACTATTGTACAGAGCTCTCTGGCATAGTAACAACACTGAAACAACACTAAAAAATGTGAGCAGCTGGTTTTGGCTGTCAGCAGTAAACTGGTTGATCCACTATGAGAAGGTGCTATTTGTAAGACAGAGCTGAATACAGCACCTTAGACTGAAGAAGTCTTTCGGATGAAAGACGAAACGTTTCTACATTATTTTTGGGTTTTTTTGTTTTTTGAATGTCCATAGGATCATACTTCACTTTTTTAGATTTTTCTACCTGGATTATTGAGCATGCATCAGGACTGGTTGAATATGTCATCATGTACTCGAGCTAGTTCTTCCCACAGGCCTTCAGCACTGTGGGAAGAACTCCACCAGGTCCCCCAGCCTTTAGGGGTTCAACTTCTTCAGAGATTTCAGGACCTGTGTATGTGTCATCTAGACGACTGTGTCTGTGGGGTCACAGGAAGCCCTTGAGGGTGTGTCTGTGTTCAAGTAAAATGCACCTGTATTTGTTGTCCATAACATATGCCTGCCCAAACCATGACCCTGCCACCACCATGAGCCGCTTGATTCACAATGTTGACATCAGCAAACTGCTCACCCACACCGCCATACTTGCAGTCTGCCATTTGCTATGCAGTGAAAACCGGGATTCATCTATGAAGCGAATACCACTCCAACATGCCATAAACCATCAAATGTGAGCATTTTCCCACTCAAGTCAGTTACAATGATGAACTGCAGTCTAGTAGAGACCTCATAGAGGACAACAATGATGCAGATGAGCTTCCTTGAGATGGTTTCTGACAGTTTGTGCAGAAAGTCTTTGGTTATGCCCACTGATAGATGCAGCATTTGTCTGGATGGCTGGTCTCAGACTATCTTGGAGGTGAAGATACTGTGTTCTGTGGTTGTGAGACCGAATGGATGTACAGTACTGCCAATTCTCTGAAATGTCTTTGGAGACCGCTTATGGTAGAGAAATGAACATTTAATTCATGGGCAACAGCTCTGGTGGACATTCCTGCAGACAGCATGTTGATTGCAAAACTTGCAACATCTGCATAATTGTGCTGCAAGATAAAACTGCACATTTTAAAGTGGTCTTTTATTGTGGTCAGCCCCCTAAGGCACACCTGTGCAATAATCATGCTGTCTAATCAGCATCTTGATATGCCACACCTGTGAGGTGGATGGATTATTTCAACAATGGAAAAGTGCTCACTAACAGATTTACACAAATTAGTGAACAATATTTGAGAGAAAAAGGCCTTTAAATATATATCATGTACTGTATATATAGATATATAGATATATAGATATATAGATAGATATATATATAGATAGATAGATAGATATATAGATATATAGATAGATAGATAGATAGATAGATAGATAGATAGATAGATAGATAGATAGATAGATAGATAGATAGATAGATAGATAGATAGATAGATAGATAGATAGATAGAT